GCTGGTGACAACTTGGGATCGAAGGGAACTGAATGCTTCACGTGTGGGCAGTTGCATTTTAATAAATTAAAACAGGCACCACTCCCAAAAAGTAAGCATTAGCTATGGCACTTGGCATATGGAGTTACCAGTGCCTTTTATGTGACTGAAACATTTCCACACATAGGAGTCTTACACTGCTATAAGAAATAGCCATGACAATTCAGACTCTGGTTGCTAAGTTTTTTTCAAGAGAAAGAAAGTGCAGTAAGAGCTCTAAGCCAACATAACTGCAATGTGTAATATTGCTAAGCCTCAGTGTTGTTAAGCTGCTGAAGTTCAGAAGGATTGTATTAATACTGTCTGATCAAGCAGACAGTAACCTATGGTTCTCTCTAGGCTTTTTTTTTTTGTGAAGCGACAGTCTTCCAAATGCATACCACTAAGCTATACTGTATTTCTGTTAAGAGCTTCTAAAAACAGAATAGAACAATCTCAATAATCACATACTAAAATGCAGAACAGAAACTCAAATTCTAGCTTTCAATCCTTTCTCACAGACTTGAAATAGAGAAAGACAGACAGCAACTCCTATATAATTGAACAAAGTCTTCTACTATCATAGAAGTATAATCATGATACTACACCTGAAGAAGGTTCAACAGTTAAAACATTGTTTCTTCTTTCTACTTTTCAGCATGAAATTAACCTTTGCTAGTACCCAGGTTAATCATATGCTGAAGAATAAAAAAAAACAACAATGTCTTAGCTATGGAGCCTTCTTTGAGGAATGAGAAAGTAGGAGGAAAAATATTTCCTAATCCAAAACTCATGTTTTTCTTCTTTGTTTTACTCTCTGAAATGGAATTAACCTATGCTTCTTCTTTGTGATTTGCATGAAGACATGACTCCCTGCTCCAACCTCGTTTACTGGTACTGTCTAATAAAATGTAGGCTCTTTGATCTCCATGGGATGCCAAAAATAAGGCTTTCTGCATTCCATGTATTAGAGTTGAGTTGTCCTTTATGCAAACCAATAAATGAATCAATAATCAATAAATATGGGATTGATTAATTAGAGATATTACAATACAATTGAGTATTTTATATTCCCCTTGTTGTTGGTTTTAACTGGAAAAAACAAAACTGACTGCTATTCTTTATTTCATTTCTTGTTGTTGTTTCTATGGTTAGTTTCCAGTTTTACAATTGGAAGGAAATGTTTTTTTCATGTGTAACCATTTAAAGACTACTAAACAGTTTCAAATTCCTAGAGGCAGACTTTCACTGCTAATCGTAAACTTAAAAAAATAGTGATAAGTAAAAAACATCAAAATTCTCAAAAGAAAAATACGAACGTACAGTGGAATCCCCATTATAAAGGATGCTTTCATCAATACTGCACTACAGCACTACAGGGAGACTCAGGTAAGTGAGATAATAACAAAGTGCACAATGTTGAGAGATCCCATAAGGATATTCCTCAGTGGGCCTGTGACACCCTCAGCCATCCATGCATTATTAGTTTCATATGGCTCCTACTTGGATTGCATAAGTCCACTGGGCTTTTCCTAATAACCTGCCACTGGCAACAAGGCTCTTGCTTGTAGCTATAAACACCTGCCTTCCCTTTCAGAATATTTCACTCTTCAATGCAGTCATTTCTTTTGTTTTATAACCCCACTGCTATGCTTGGCAGGTAATGCCCGTCACTGTCCCCCCATCAAGTATCAGTGACAGGGAGAGCCTGCAACAATCTCTGATAGTGATGGCTTTTGTAATGGATTTTGTAATATAACACATCACCACTGACTTAGCTCATAGGGCACTTCTTTAGCTGACTTGATGTGTTAGGAAGGTTTAGCAGTTGTCCTTATTCTTCAGTTATATGAATAAGGTGGAGTACAAAGCCTGATAAACAAATGCTTCACATAGTATTTTTTGTGTCTGTGATTTGTCAATGGTGATGCTGTGCACCAACATTTTCTGCTGCGTTTGACGCTCAAGCACTTGTAAATATATGCAGCGAGTGGTGGAAGAAATCACTTACAGTAGGTCGGCTAAGATATGATTTCGACTGAACGTAACAAACCTCATCATTTATCAATCCTAATGGAATTTCAAGTGTGCGATATAAAAAAAATCGCTTCGAAGCTCGTTGTGGATACCTACGACCCCGGTCCATGATGTCAGCACATCAGTGCTGTGGTGTAAAGTAAGTCATTAAGATAGAAGCATTTGCTTACTTATACTTCATTCTAGAACTTTGCTTCAGAAAGTAAAACTATTAAATTAAATAGAGAGCCTGATGTATAAATGACTGTATCTTAAAACATTGTATATAGGTAACCATACAATCTTCAACAACTGACTGCAGAGTTTCAGTGTAAGAATAATAGAAGATAACGTCAGCTGTAAGTACTGACTACTTTTTTTCTCAGTGGAGTTGCAGTACGCCAGAGTTGTAGATCAAATTTTGTATGGAATTATTGAGTCACATTTTTTTAATGTGTTTGTTCCATTTTTTAGTTTACAAGATAATGCAACACACAATCAGTCAAACATGGAAGGCTAAAAAAGTTAATTAGATGTTAAACATTTGCAACAGAAATTAAGTACCTACTGTATATCCTTAGTTTACAGAATTCCAAACTATTGCGGGAAATGTAAAACACAGGCTCAATAAAAGCTTCTGACAAGCTTTCATGTACAATATATAAGGGTTTTTTGATGAGAGTGGCAGTGGTCCATTAGAGGAACAAATAAAAGAAAAATGTATTTGAATGCAGTTGTCAACACTCAGCCAAAAGACTAGTCAGGTGACCCAGCAGCTTTCATGTGATACAGAGTTACATCACAGTTAGAAGCTCATACCAATTGAGTTTTGCCATACAGTATTCAAAAATAATTGTCGTAGAAAAGGGAAAATGTATAAAACAGATACCACACTCAATCAGGAGATGTAAGAGTTGTACTAAATTAAGTAACAAGCACAGCTTTACCTGTGGATTCAAACAAAGCATGTTTATAGTCACGGACATCTTGGTTTCAGAACTACACAATATCACTCTGGTCCATTTTTCTTGGCAAAGATTATCTAGCAACTCCCCACAAACATGTGCTCCTATCCTTCTGCTCATCAAAAACACAACTCTTTCCATGACACTGTGCATCAGATACTTTTAGTGAGCAGTAAAAATCCATCTGAATGTACCAAGGTCCAAAGAGGAGCCTGTCAAAGCAAAAAGAATTGGCTCTGCTGTTATGATTGAGAATATCAAGCATAACAGTGCGGGCTGTTCATCACACTAGTCTGGAGAATCACATTCACACCCTGAGTACAGAAAAACAGGCAAAGCACTGGCCTCAATGGTATGATTTACCATAGCACTGTCACCTTCCCATCTTTCATAAGGTTCTGTGAAAAGGATTCATACTGCACCATTCAGAATAAAGTAAAAGGGTGAGTTTCTTTAGTGCACAACCAATATAATTAAATTATTATGTAAACATTTAAATTTCACTGCAATGAACTCTGGTGAGCTATAAATATTTTAGAAGAATTATTGATTGATTAATTGAAAAGCTTTCAATGATGCTTGAATCATATAACACAAAGTCACATTGTATTTAAAAAATGTAAATATAAGGGTTCATCATCCAGTAACACTATGGTAAAATTCAACATTTGATATAATGTAAATATAAAAAAATACTATTGAAACAAAAGAAGGATGCTGAGCTAGAATATTAAAAGCAAAATGCAAAAAACAATAATTCAACGCGATTCCATTCCTTACGAAGTGTAGCCCATAAAATCTAGCACACAAACAAAAACATAAGCAAGGTAGCACAGTGTTTGCATTGTTGTCTAACTTCTAATGCACAATGTTCATACAAATTCAATTTCAATTTCATACAAAATGTAGCTTAACCCAAGTGTTATGTGGTATAATAGCCAGTTCTTTTCAGTTTTATGCCCAATTTTCTTAGCACCTGGCAATGATGGAAACATAACATGTAACCGACTGGCATACTAGCTGGCAGTGATGTGAAATGGGAACAAATATTTTTTTTCTATCATTTGCACTTCCTGTTCGATTTAGCCAAGTCTTAGTCACCCAGATGAGTATTTAATCTTTGCACTCATAAACTAAGCTGTCTTTTTGGAATAAGCAAAGACAAATGCTTGCAAATACTACCCATATTCCCCATTCTGCTATTTTGCAAGTGTCTTGGATAAAGTATTATTGCAGAAACTAGAGACTGCTATACAGTGCACTTGTGAGCATACTTTTCCTAAGTTGGATGTGTGGAATTTATGTCATTAAACTGTTAGCGCTCTTGTGTCAATTCCAAATGGAGGATGTATCTCCAACTTTGGCTTCTCAATACATTTTCATGCACATCTGATTAAATAATAAAAACATCTATTAGAATTTATGCTGGCTTGTTACATATTATAAGTGTTGAGGTGTTGGGTTTAAATATAATTCTTCATACACATATACATTTTTATTCTTTTGGTTGCCTAAAGCAAGTGTATTACATTGAACCTAAAACTGTCAATATGAAAGGCAGAGAAAGCTGAAGAAATTCAGCCCATCCCCTCCAAGAGGTAAGCCCTCAAAATGTAAATTGCTGACAAGCTAGATTCCATTCAGTTCTGCTTTCCAAAGCTTGCTTTGTGGTAGATTTTTTCCCCATCTTTCTTTTTGAGGGATCTCTTTTCAGGCTTGACATCAGAGTGAAGGTACGCATATCCACAAGACTAGATTAAACGAACATTTCAGACTGTTTTTTTTCCTCCGTTTGTGATATGTCAAGTTTCTGTGCAGCTAGCTTTACTGTACTTCTTCTGAAGGGAGTACGTATGGTGAGGACAAAGGAGGAAGATGGGAAGGGGGGGCAGTTTAACAGGAAACAGAATGTCACCAGAAAAAGCTGGCCGCTCAAGATTAGAAGTATTCAGAAGTGCTGAAGGACATCTGCCGGCAACGCACAAGCTAGCAGGTGCTTACCTTTGATGAGAAAGTAAGTAATGAGGCTGTCAATTTTCCATCATTGCTGCCTCACAGAGTTGAGTTGCCAGGATTCTGCTGAGGAATAACCAGTTTTGTGAATGGTTGTTTTTCATAAAAATGAGAAATGCAAATCAGGTATTCTTTACATAGGCTATGCCTAAAGCACACAAGCAGAGATCTACTAAACTTAAAATGTCAGCATTAAGGCACTGGATATATTTTTTTTATTTTTTGTGTGTTTGGTTATAGATCGGATTTAAATCTTTATAGTAATATTCAACATACAGTACATATTGTGTGTAAAACATTGGTTTATTCACAATTATTGAATAATTGGCCAATTTCTTCAAATAATTACAGGAGCCATTGCAAAGAATATAATAAAATCTGGATTTAAACACGTGATACATCAAACAGCTTTGCAAATTGCTGTTCCCTTGGTTTCCAAATAGTTTGTAAGGACAGCAGCTTATATCTGGAAAGTTAATTTAGAAGACTTATGATTACTGGAAACAAATTGTTATAATGCATCTTCTCCTCAGCCTCAAAGTGATTGGGTAATTCAAATGCTCGTTATACAACATACAGTTATGACACACTGGCAAAATAGGTCATCTAAATAAATGCTGTTTTTTGTAACTTTTCAAACTATTAGAAATTAACAATGTAGAAACTCTACTTACATATTTTATACAATTGCAGGATCCCTAAGGAATGAAGGAGTTAAAAAAATGTAACTTCATTCTGAATGTTTAAAAGTAGTCCTAATTTGCATTCTACTTCCTCAGGAACAATTGAGCTCACTTCTGGAGTTTCACAAAACAAGAAAAGAGCTTGAAAAAATTAATGACCAGGTTATTTCTGTTAAAAAGAGATGCCCATCACTTTGTGCAGTTTTTGTAATTCATACTTTTACCAGTGAAACTAATTTACTAAATATGCAGTGTAACGACGACATTTAATCAAATTCTGGTTTCAGTAAGCCAACAAGTTCTTTCCACTCTATAAATCGTTCTCCAAACTTGTGAATAGGCATATTATAGACACATTTTTTTGATTAAACCCAAGACCATTCCTATGATACAATGGTCGCCTAGCCCCTGACACTCATAATAAATCATGTATCCTGTCAGTTTATTTACACAATACAATGAGCAGAGGTCTGAAACAGCAGTATCTACATAGAACAGCTGCTATCTCTTCCTTTTCTGCTGCAACAGCTAATCTGTGCTATGAAACATATTTAATTCTGCTTTGTATTGTCTAAAACTTTGTAACTGGTGCAGCAGAATACTGCATTGAAGTTTCACTTTTTTCACATCGAGTTAAGGCTAGACAACAGATTGTACAGCTGCAGTTCAGTGTTTTCTGCTGATGAGTCTTAGTTACAGTAAAAACTGCTTTTTCCAAAATGCTCCTTTCCTTCACACACAATCAATGAGATAAACAATCTTTTATAATCACTGGATTTTTGACCCATGAAAACACAGGGAAGCATGTGTGACAAAGCAATCAGTTGCATTGGGCATTCATGCTGTGTACAGTTCTCTGACATGGTGACAGTAGTCATGTGTCTCAGTCCTGCCTTGTGCCTTATGTTTCCAGGATAGGCTGTTGATTGCCATGAGCTTCCCCTGAGGGTTGCAAAGAGTTAAGAATACACATGCATAGTGACATGCAAAGCATTTGGATGTTAATTAAAGCCCACACTGTTTAATCAACGGTTCATGCTAAAAACAAACTTTGGTATTTTAAGCAAAGGAAACCCCCCAAAAAATCCTTTTAATTTCCCCCTTTCTATGTCTTGTATTTAAATTAATACTTATCACTGAGAAGCACCGAACAAGCTGTTTCTACTGTATGTTAAATATTATCTAACAAGGTATGAAATTGCAGTTTTTCAGTTTGGATACTAACAAGCAGTATAATCATACTGTAAAGACCCTATGCTATACATGCTAGTTCTGAATACTAAGGTATAGTTTTACGAGATGTATCATCCATTTTTAGCAGTATGACAGATTGCATATCCCACAGGTGAACCTATACAGTATGTTGAATAACTAACAGAACATATTTTGAATACACAACAATGTTTAAATGTCAAGATCAGGTATAGAAAAGGTGTTAAGTGAGTGATGTTATTCTGTTTTTATCAGATGTACATATAATAGTGAAATAATTTAAAACTGGTAGTACTGTAGGCATAAACAGTAGGTACAAAGAGAGTTTTTTAGAATGTTTTTGATGAAGATCCTCATAAACATTACTTCTCTATTTTCTGATAATTCAAGGTAATGTATGCACAGTATTTTGATTAAGTAATGCACATATTTGTTTTAGGGTCACAGCTCTTGCTAATGTTATATCAAACTAGATTCTGATACAGTTACTGTAGTAAACTAGTGAAGGTTGCAGATGATGTAAAAATAGAAGCATTAAAAACACTACAGAAGCAGCAAAGAAAATCTAAGACTAGGCAAACACCTGACAGATGACATTTAATGTAGACTGTTACATAGAGGTATGAAAACCACAATCTATAAATATAAACTGGAAAGCATTGATCTTGAAGAAGCATTTTATGAAAACTTTGAAAAATATATAAAAAAAAACTTATAAGTAAAAATGGGGAAGGAATTAAAGGGGACAAGCAATGTTAGGTTGTACAGTTAAAATATGGAATTTAAATTAAGGGATGTTAAAATTGTCCAATGATATAGTGAAACTAAATTTAGATTATTGTACACGATTGTGGTTATCACATTACAAAAACAATAATGCTGCTATGGAATCAATTCATAGAATAGCAACCTGGTTAATATGAGGCTTAAAAAACCCTATCCTGCCATGCTTAAAGTAGTGCATCATTTTAGTCATGAATCGAGAAAATTGGCATACTTTGAGACATTTAAAACTGAGAGCAGAAGGCATTTTTTTGTACAACGTGTTTTGGTCTTGAAAACAATTTCCAATATAGACACCTTTTTTTTTCAAGAAAGAGCTGGATTAATTCATCAGATCAATTAAGTACTAGCAACCAAATGAGTTAGATAGATATCAATGGCCTCCTCTTCTTTGTTAACCTTTCTTAATGCCATAAAGGGACATAAAGCATAATAAAATAAGGTAACACTATATGCTTCATGCAATACATATATAATTGTACTTCAATTGCCATACATATATTACTTCTTTATACTCATGTATACTTGATATTTTCTCCTTTTATATTTATGTTTTTATATTAATATATGCATATAAAATTCCTACCTAGACAATCAGCTGTTTTTATTAGTAATTCTCATTCTTGAAGCAGTCTTCCACCTCTTTGCACTTCTCTAAGCATTGTGGTAGAAGAGAATCATGTAATTTATGCAGATGAACTCAAGGTGCTGGTGCCAATAACACATTATTAAGTTCCATATCCCTCAGTCATCCTCCCTTCATTCCTGTAAAGCAGGTTACCTTCTCAAAAAGCTCTGGGATGCTTGCCATCTCACACTTTCTCAGCGCTCAAGCTAATTGCTCAATCCACCTGGGAACCCTCCACTAAACACTTAGCAAGATGTTGATTTGCAACTGTGTGATCTTCCCTAGTCAATGCTCGTTAAATGCACAGTGATTACTGGAAAGGATTAAGCTGGGGCATAAGTCAGTGAAAAAAATCTGAGCAAAGCTTCTACTGCGATGCAAACACATTTCTCATACCTCAGCCTCCCATGGGTACACTATAGTTCCTTTAAAAGCAATGAAACACTTACACTGTAATAAACCCAAACATATTTTAATATCTTTACAGTTGCCTTATTAAAATCCTGAAGATTTAGCACAATACTGCACTTCATCCTCTTACCTCTTCCTTTCTTTTGCCTTTTTGTCAGTTCTTAAATATTAGTCATAGAGCAACTAATATGGGGAATTGTTATTTGACTCTTTGTCTTTCAGGATTACCTCCCTTTTTGATGCAACCGTAGGTAGCTTCCAAGAACTGAGCAGTTCTTAAGCCTGTCTCTGATTTTAGCACTAATGGCACTGAACTGTACAGTACCTATCAAGCAAAGATCAAAGTTAAGGTTGAAATTAAAATCTACAGAAGCATACAGTACAAAAGGGATTCAAACTATTGCTCTGATTATTCATATCATTTCCAAGTTAACATTTTAGGCATTGGAGGTTGATTGTCACCTGTCTCAGGTGACCATTTCTGATCATAGATTCCCAAATGTATAGTTTCTAAAATGCAGCATCAGAAAAGCATGCACAAGTGCAAATACAAGACACCTGTGATCTACATAAAACATGAATATACTGTACACAATGGATTAGCTTCCTTTTTCAGGCACTCTCACTTAACTGCAGTACAGAGATAAAGAATATACTCCTTTATAAAAAAAATAAAGATGTCGGATTGGGTCTAACAGCTTTATAGCGACCCTTCAGAAAAGGCTTATCAGTTCCTGAATGTCAGTCCATTTGGCAGTGCCTCTAGGTTTCATTTTCTGCTTTGACTGAATACAACTTGTGCATCTTGCTTATTTCTTGTGCACGTCAGGTTGTCTGCAATCAATGGCCAGCAGTCTCCAGAGGAAGGAGGTGGAGAGTTAAAGATGCAAGGCTGCTTTTGTTCTCTTTTTTTTTAGAAGTATGTCACAAACGAAGGCCCCGGAGGTTCTGATAAAGAAGCTTGAAAAAGTCTCCCATTCTTCTAGTCCTGCTGGCCTTTGAAGTTCTTAAAAAAGGGGTTTAAATAATTTATAGGCATTCCTATAGTTTGAACCCTTTATTTGTCTGACCATGGTTTTTAGACAAAGTACACCCAGGAGTTCTGTTTTTTTTTCTATCACCTTTTATTACAGAGCTAAAAAAAATCCCTGTGATGTACTGGCATCCCTTACAGGGGCAGAACAATTGTGCTCCAAGTCACATCTAGCTCTCTACGGTACGTATCTGGGCTAGGCTCTGACATCCTGTTAACTTTGCCAGAGTAATCAGTGAATACTAATAATGAAGAATTGAATGGTTAAAAAATTTGCTTCCACATTTTGGCAGTACTGAATGAAGAGTAGTGTAAGCCAATAATCAACAGTGTAATTGGCTTGTACCCAAACCATAAAATGCATAGAGAACTAATAATTTGTGTATATTAGTAGTTGCACAGTACACTAATTTTCAAAACATGCTCTTGTGTAATTTAGTGTTCTCTTTTAAACGTGGGCTTTGTGCAACTTAAAAAAATACAAGAATGAATCAAATAATAAGAAAATCACCAAATCATCCACAATTTTCATTCTTACCTAGTTTTTTCCTTCACTTCCACTGCAATCCAGAAATGTTGTATCATTTACTGAGTTTCATCTCGCTTGAACAAATTTTAAAATGAAAAGTTCACTTTTTTTTTGTTACTAGCATTGAAAGTTTGCTTTATTAAAAACAATGTCCTGTTCAATTTTATTCCAGGGTTTGTATGTCAGGGCTTCACCTTACTTCCCAGTCTGGCAGTGGATTTGTTTATTCCTCATCATGGCACGCCTGGGGTGAGAGAGAACAGTCTCCGTGTTTGACAGGCTGCTCTCAGGAGCAGGCGTGGATGTCACATAACAAATTTAGCAGCTCCATTGTGCACGCACAGCTTCCTAACCTCCCACCAGCAAAGGCCAATCACTTAATGAATTCCCAGGATACAGATTCAGTCTGACCATGAGGTTGCATTCACTCTGTTTACATTGTCAGGAGTCACTTACAGTATGAATCCAGGAATTAACATGACAATGATGGTTTCAGCTTGTGTTATTTACGTGATCTGTGACTGAATACACTACAGGTAAAAGGCATTAAATACTAATCAGTAGTTAGGATTATATTCAGTCATCAAGCTTACAGTGTATCATTTGGAGTGTTTTTTTTATTAGAGCCACTGTAAAATATACAACTTGCTCACTATAACAAATTTGTTTTCTGAGTATGATTTGAGTTTTATCACTAAAATAAACTTGTTAAGAAATACATCTGCAAGATAAAACTTTTCCATTGAACGGATTCAAAGTAGTTTCCCTCCTGCAATTATGCTTTGGATTCATTGTGATCACCTGGATGTGTTCAACAAGCAGGGTTCTACAGAGAATTATGTGATCTTTTTTTTTCTACTGAGCAGTCTACAGTATTAGCAGAGAGGGGCATGTGGGGGGAGAGTTACACTGAGTTAACCTCCATGTCAACTAAAACATTTAAACAATATACAGTATGTTTCTTATCTCTTCAATTGTTCTCTTATTCTTGTTTAATTCTACGTTGAGATTTTAAATTATAGACTGCTGCATACAGTATGTCATGTGATGTAATACCTAGTTTCGGCAGAATCTACTTCGCTTTACCTCCATCTGACTACTCTTTCCTAACACCATTCAGAGCTAATGCCCAAGTGGTAGTGCCACAGCAGAGAACTCTCCTTACAGAGCTCTAGTTTTATCTCCTTCCTTCCATAAACGTGAAGCTTAGCTCTGAAGATCATTACTACAGAACCTCCTTATACTTAAAACCTCTTTGCAAGGAGTTTTGATTAAAAAAACAAGCAACATAGTTTCAACCAAATTTGCATTGGAATGTGGTTTTCTTAGGTTTTTAAATACACATGAATAAATTTCTTTACACAAACCATTAAAAATATAAGGAAAATACATACTGTACATGAGCTGTAAGAAAGGCATTTTATTCCCGTTGATACTCACTTAAAAGCTCTTCTTACATACAGTATTAATCACATTCTTATGATGCAGATAAATTAACACAAGCTATTCAACAGAGAGATATAACCAATTATATATGGGATTTCATACTTTAGTATGGGAGCCACCACCTTCTATTTCCCCTGGAACAGTACTTACAAAGAAAAAAAATGCTATGTGCCCAAGGCAATATTTTTAATTAAATGCATGGAAAACTAAAACTGAAAAAGTACAACATCTGAAGATGCCATGTGGTTCAATACATTGAAAGCACAGTAGAATTATGATATTAAACAGAAGAGATTACTGTTTATTGTCCTCATGTGCTGGAAAAGATACAGTGTGTGTTTGTTCATGTATGTGAGTAAAGATTTTTCAAATAATATATTAAACCAAACCAAAATTAACTATGGTTACTTTAAGATCCATAAAATATGCCAAAAAAAAACAGTCTTCCCCTTGAACAGTGTAATAAAAATTGATTCAAAATGACCTATTTACCCATGTATCAGTTTTCATCAGCTCTTGCACACATCTGTAGAGCTGAAATCGAGATCGATGATCGTGACTTGGAGAATAATTATCTACATAATTTGTTGTATATATTCTGTTACTAGAACACAATGGCAAGCAACTTAAAGGGGCCATAATTCGTTACAGAACACAGTTAATTAACACACATATTGATAGGATGCTTAGGTATGTAAACATACAGTAACTGTGCAAAAATCCATTACTAGACTTTTTACTGACATGTGCTCCAAAGTCGTAGGACTGCAATCAACAACAGCAGTAGGTGTCACACAAACTATTGCTTATTAATTCACAACCCCTTTCTTATTTCTAACACAAACTATATTTATGGATTTGCAGGAAGTTATAATTGGTCACACAAACTCACTGATTACACAGAATGTTTTACTGGATTCGAACAAGCCAATACAATCAGCTACAAAATAATAAAATATCATTACTACTTCTACTTCCAGTGCTTTCCCATCTAGCAACAGCTAGAGAAACAATTTCTTTTAAAAATCTTCCTTTTATTGTCATAAATGTCTTTTGCTTTTTATGTAGCAGATGCATTATTTTACTCATGGTGATTTTTGCCAAATGACTCCCAACGTGGTTCTCTCATCTACAAAAATTACTGACAACTAAAAAATATCTTCATCGTATACATGTACAAAAACAGAAACAGAAATATTGTTTTGTTTTTTTTTATTTCAGAATTCTAATACTTTAGTATTATGTGCATACAAGACTACATTTCAAATAAAAAAATCTACAATACACAGGGTAGGAACGACTGCAGTTATTTGTCTGCTATGAAAGCTTCCCCTCCACCTTGTATGCTTCTGTTAGGTAATGTTAATTATGATTAATTGCAATTAAAGATTCTTTGAAAAACATTTGTAATTGTTATTTCCTATTAGCCAGCATGTTATAATAATTAATTTTCATTTAGTAATTAATAAAATAATTGAGTAGTGCATACAGTATCATGTGGCCTTAGTTCTAATGCACAATGATTTGTTTTATATTAAAAAACTATTTAGAGTGAAGCATGCTGCATAAGTAGATGAAACCCATGGGTCTGTACTTAGCATGTGTAATGCCAAGTAAGACAATTTGCACTCTGCATGTATTTTAGCCATGAGAGAATGTGCTAGGGAAATCAAGCTAGCTTCTTCTGAAATCTTATCTCCCCTAGCTGGCACACGTACTGAACAGTGAAGCATGTCACACTGGCAGATAATACATCAAGGATCCTATTGCATTTTATTCCACTGTGAAGTGAGGGCTTTATCTGTATATTTCAAAGGCCAGCCTTACAGGCTTCATCTCCCAAGAGAGTATAAAAGGCTTTGAAATGAGGAAGAAAAATGCCAATCAAAGTTTAATATTCTTGATTTAATAAATTAGCTTGAAGAGCACACTGTTGAATTTAAATTGGGCTATACACTATAGTTTTACTTGACTTTAATTTTTAAAGAAAAAGGAATAAATTAAACTTACAAATTATGTGTTTTTCTATCCCCTTCAGTTCGATAATAAAATATTACATCTTAAGTTAGTAGCATTGTAATATTTAACTAATAAGCTTTTACCTCTGCTCAAAATGCAAAATCGAAACACTATGAAAACACTAACACTTGTAAGTAACATATGCATATTTACCCATTTTATCAATTTAATATTCTAGTCACTGTTCTCAAGTTCAGATATATTCTCATAAACTATAACACTCTCTCATTAACTCTTATTAATCAGTAGGAGAACTGCAACAGGGTGAGTCATTTAATGTATACACAATCAATATACATCTACTGTATATGAATCACTTTTTATCAATTGTTCATCTTTTAAAGATATTTTTAATTGGAATTTCTAATTGCTAATTGTTATTTCAGAGGTATTAAGCTTTTTGATGAGCATTCCAAATAACCCATATTTTTATTTTACTCATAACCTATTGTACGAGTGTGAAGGAATGCAATTTACTATAAATCAATTGTATTATCCAAAACATTTTTAACAATATTTAATTGATTTCTGGAAACACAACAAAACAAACAACAACTTACAAGAAGTACCAAAAAACAAACACAAACATAGGAGCTCACAGGAAAGCAAAAACATGGTACCGAAACTACTTTTATGTACTGCAACAGTTAGACAACTGTGAAAAACTAAAATTTCATTGTTTGAAAAAGGACAACATATCCAATGTTACTGACAGCAACACAAAAAAATGGATGAGCGTTCAAGCGCCTAGTAAAGAAAAATTGCATGCTTGTGGAAAATTGATTACAAATGCCTCTCTGGATTTTTTTAATATGATTTACCCGAATCCGGTCCACTTTGTCATATATCAAGACTGCTTGATCACATGGTCGCTGCTGAAGTGAAGACAAGGCACTCAAAAAACTGCAGAGACTTCAGGCAGCCTTTTAAAGCAAACACCAGTGGCATGTCATGAGCATCACATTACACTTGCATTAATCCTCCATCTCCTGATTTCCTGGAAATATTTTTCTCTGTAATCTGGTCGTTTCAAAAGACAAAAATATGTCACTGTATCTTCATTATATTTCAGTTTGTCTTGCTTTTTCATATATATCAAGTAAATTCTTTCACCATCTGTTTTTTTATTAAAATAATATAGTTGTTCAAGAAGTAAAAAAGTTGTAATGAATTTAAACAAAAGACTTCAAGGAAAAATGATCATGGTAATTAAGTGCACTTTTTTAACATTCCTTCAGTTTGCTTATGTTAACTAACTGGGAACATTAAATACTGTGATGAAAACAGTCATAGAATCCCCTCAACTAATCTTTAAAACAATTAAATTAAAATTAATTATAGCTATAGTATGGAAAAAAACCATGACGTAGTCTGTCTTTATGTTGTATAACAATAAACATGTAAGTTTATTGCATTAAGTTTATTGATAAGTTTATAATGATAAGTTTATTTATCATTGATAAGCAGTTCCAATGAGAGTCCTGTTGTAAATTTCTAACATCAGGACTAAATACCTAAGTTACAGGCTGCACTATCAAAATACTGTACTGAAGATTCAGATAAGGTAAGCAATATTGTAGCCTTGCAACATTATGCTAACCATAAATTATATTCCTAAATATGGATTTACGTTGGTATTTTAATGTCACTGTTTCATTTTACAATGCGTTCTTAAAAATGAAAGATAGAAATGCACTTTTGGTTTGCTTATCAGAGCAAAAAGAGAACTCCCAACCTTTAAAATAAAATCAGGTTGATAGAAAACACT